AGCTACATGCATTCTCAAGTTTTTTAGAAAGAAACCCCAACCATCCGCCGTCTCACCTTCCACTAGGGCAAAGGCAACTGGGAAAATATTGATGTTTTCGTCTTGTGCTACAGCCATTAGTAGTGTACCTTTGTCCCTTCCATATAACCAGGTACCATCAATTTGTAGTAAAGGCTTGCAATATGCAAAGCCACGTATGCATGGTTGGAAAGCCCAAAATAGTCGGTGGAAGATTTGTTTCCCAGCAATAACAGTCCCATCATCTGTATATACCGGTAGTGTTTGCATTTCTACTACAGTGCCTGGAACAAACTTCTTAAGGGCCAACAAGTAATTTGGAAGTTCATTGTATGACTTTTCCCAATTACCAAACACTTGTTCGATTGCTTTTTTTCTAGCAATCCATGCTTTCTTGTAAGATGGAGTGTATTTGAAAAAAGAAACAATTTCGTTAATACATACACTCACCTTGATAGAGGGATCCTTTTCAACAAGAGGCATTAATCGTTCACTCATCAGTCGAGAGCTTAGTTGTCGATGATCCTGATTAAAGATGGTCGTTGAACAATTATGTGGGGCTCCATGATTCCTATCTCCCATAGGTCGCTCCTTTTCCTATAGGATGCCACTAGACGAAAGTTGCAACCACTACGCTTACAACAAATTTTATATCTCTTTGTGTCATAACATGTAACCCTGAAATCAACGACATGTTTCATATGATACCTGGATATCGCAAAGACACAGTCAGATTTGTTTTTGAACTGGTTCCCAACAGCTACGTCATCCTCCAGCGGAAGACGAGGATTTTGGGGCCATTCAAATGATGATTCGTCTCCAGTTGTTTCCAGAGTGGTCATGTGGGCGGGTGGACAATAGACATTCTCAAGTGGAATATGTTGTTCAGTTTCGTTGATTGCATTCACCTCGTCACGGCCACCGTCTTCGAATAAGGTAGTGAACAAATCATCAGCTTGTGACTCAGTCTCTTCTTCTTTGTCATCTTCGACAACGACTTCCTCGGGAATTATGGGCACGGGCTCAGCCTCATTGGGATTGGCCACTTGTGAGATTTGAGATTGTTGAGAAAGTTGAAATTTTATGTATAAATCTATCGCATGTAACCCAGATAATTCATGATTGTAAAACATCGTTTCCACATCATCATCATCTCGGATTTTCAATGGAACATATTTCACCTGGTTCACACCGAAATTAACAGCATTTCGATATATAATTTGTGAGACAGCTCCAAATTGCATCCTTGTTTGTATCCTCTCCCTCAAATATTCAAACTTCGCATTTCTACTTAATTTGAACCGGCATATATCAGTATTTTCGAATATAATACCCATATCATCAGAGATAAGGATCTCTTCATTGTAATGAGCATCCACTACATATTGAGGTGTTTGAGACATGATGATTTGTTAGTGAACAAGAGTTGAATTGTAGGAAAAATTTATTTTTTAAATGGGTTGGGTTGATGAAAAATTGTAGGAAGAAGAACTGAATTTAAATGAAATATATTTTGTCTTTAGTAAATATATTATAATAAATAAACGTAGGAATATTTACTTTTTAATGGTCAAACTGACAAAATCAAACCATCCGTCCATTGCAGATGTGGTGACATTAATGTGTGTAAAAGCTCCGTCCAATGGGAAGGCGGAAGCATTGATGTTGGTATGGGCTCCGCCCATTGCTCCTGCGACATTGGCAGGTCAAATAACACGCTTCCGCCCATTAATTACGCGGATGGAAGACCAAAAAATAACATATCCGCCCAACGTATCAGCGACATGTCAGAAAATGCCAATGGTTCGCCCATTGAGGAGGCGGATCCTGTAAAGCTGTGCATGCAACACAGTTTACGTACACAACATGCATGACAAAATTATTACTCTCAACCATTTACTTGTTTCCATTAAATATTTTGCATAAAACCCTTCATTTTTTCTCTATAAATACTATTCGTTTTTTCAAAATTTACATCATACTCAATCTTTATATATTCTTTCTCATCATAATTCTACACCAAACTCAATTTTCTATAATGTCTCTGTTAACTTATGGAGAGGAGCATCGAGGAACATTGTCAAACATACTCCAATATGTAAGTATTGAATATAGTTACTTATAAAGTTTTTTAAATTTTTAGAACATACTTCTGACATTAACCATCTTCTAATATTAATTATTTTATTTTTTAGAATGAGAAAAAATTTAGGCCTCGTACACACTCGTATGTACCCGTAGACGAAATGATTCGTCCATATCTGATGCAAGCGGGCTTTGGACACGTTATCAACATAACGTCATATGGCGTCCGGAGACACACACATTCCATCTTCCTACCGGTGAATCCACAATCACCCTTGAAGATGTCCACATGTTGATGGGTTTACGTGTAAACGGTTTGACAGTGAATGGGAGAACAAATGTTGATTACTCCATAACTCAAGAACTCTTGGGTGAAGAATTGCCCGAAAGAGCTAGAAAGGGACAATTCGTCAAAATTACTTGGCTCCGGGAAAGATATGATGCATTTGACTTGAACGAAGATTCCACCATAGAACAAATTCATAAGAAAACTAGAATTTATATTTTATTGTTATTCGCTGGTTTATTATTTCCTGACACTAATGGTAACACAATACATCTAATGTATTTACCATTACTAGCTGACTTTAATAAAATAGGTAGATACAGTTGGAGATCTGCAGTTTTATCGCATCTATACAGAAACCTCTGTAGATGCGCCAAAAAAGATGTTCATAATTTTGCTGGTTGTTCAACACTACTACAAGCTTTGGGATGGTCCAGGATGCCGAATCTAGCGCCTTGGAATCGTAATTCTTTTCACTTTTCGTACACAACCAAGTAAGTTGTAACTACTCCTTTGTCTTAAACTTATTTACTATGTGAACAATATTTAAGTATTACATTTTTTTAGATGGCCTGCCTATGGGATGGATTACAAAAAGACTCCTCATCATTGTGCACCTGACTATCGGACTTTCGTCGATCATTTCGAAGAAGCTGATGTAATATTCTTAATCATATTTTAAGTATTACATATTTTATATAGTTCGTTAAACTAATAACTGATTTTTTTAACAGTTTACATGGAGGCCCTATCTAGGACTTGATGATACCGATCCGACCGATAGTCACGTGTGGAGTGCAAAAATATTTATCATCTATTTTACTACTGTTAAAATGCATCATTCTGATCGAGTAAAACTACAATTTGACATTAAGCAAAGCATACCGGATGCTCCATATTGCATGGAGGAGTATCACAAAAGTGTGGTGAACGACCAATAGACATATAGCAATTGGAAAGATTGTTACAAACAGGAGCGTAGATAAAGTCTTACAAGGAGATGTCATGTCAGAAGAATGTAAACCGAGTAAGGAATACATGGAATGGTATAAGTCTGTTACAAATTTGTATCTGTCACCAAACAACTTCTTATATGACCCTCGTAATTTGCCAACATCTTCAAACGTCCAACACACCAGACCATCATCAAGCACTTACATCCAACAACCATTCATGAGCAACCAATAACCTTTCTTCCCAACACAACCATCTTTTACGCAACAACCTTTCTTCCCAACACAACCACCTTTTACCCCAAGCCAACAACACCATCAACAAAACCCTTCATCTAACCCCATCCAATGGGGCACCCAACAACAATATCCTTCATCTAACCCCACCCAATGGGACACCCAACAACAATACTCACATCTTACCGTCAACATCAACCAGTCTACCACAAACATCACTAACACTACAAACCCCACATAATCCCAACTATCAGACACCCCAACAACAAATGCCTATTCCCCGGCCACAACAATTTATCTCCCAAGATTGTTACCAACCCTCAATAAATAGTCCAATGTCTTCTAATCTCATACCAAATTGGAATTGGGAGGGAACTAGATTAAGTTATGGCAGTGCAGCCAAGACAGATTATACCAATGAGGACATGATTGAGGAATTTTTAATGGACGGGTGTGACGCGGGACTTTCAACTTCAACTCAACCACAAAATGAAGAAGGAAATCGCAGAACAAGCCAACGTACTAGACAAACACCTGCTTGTGGAACTCACCAACGATTGACACGACTCGACCAAAATCGACAGTAGATGTGTCTTAGAATTATATAATTTAAAATGAAAAAAAAATTAATTTATGTAATTTAGTGAAATTTTTGTTTATTTATAGTATATTTTGTTTAATTATAGTGTATTTTGTTTAATTATAATGTATATTATTTAATTATATCAATTTAATTTAGAAAATAAAAATAAAAGACACGGTTGCACTCATCTGCCCATCCAATGGACGGACCCTCTCTATTATTAACAGCATCCGCCCAATGCTTCAGCGGAATGGATAAAAATTGCACTGCTCCGTCCATTGTATTGGCGGATAAGTTGTGGCAAAAAAAAATTTTGTTTGAAAAGAGAAAGATTAGAATTATTGAATGTAGTAGATGGTATATTGGGATTTAGTAGGTAAAAAGGGTGTATGTCGGTAAAAAATTCTTATTTTTCCAACATTTTACTTTTGAAGAGTCTTCTAGAAACAAATGTATTTAATTTTAAATTATCTTGAGTGATTAATACTAGTATGTAACCATTTACCCTAAGAACTTGTAGGTAACACATCATCATTCTTATGAAAACTACCTTAAAACGCAATTCATGCACACAAAAAACTTAGTAATGAAAGATAAATAACAAAATAGCTCCTGTTATTGAATTATAAATAATATTGCTCCTGCTAAGAATGCCATCATCTCACACAATATACCTACTACTATACTATTATATCAAGCACTCTTACCAAGAACATCATGGACAAACCCCTCATGAATAGGACTAGTGATAATATGCTTTTATTAACCAGATTCAAATCTCAAATAACAAGACTGAATCATAAAATATATAGGCTACTAATCTGTAAGCAATCTATTATTAAGCTTGGCACATGCAATCAGGAACAGGATATGTGTATATGGATTGTTTAGGCCTTCTAACCCTGAGTTGACCTTGTCTATTTTCATGACCTTCAACCACTGCATGCTCAAACTCTGACCATTCCATCGTTTTATTCAAGAACAGTTGACCCATCAATGCCATGTTTGGTCTTATAGTCTTTAAGTTCAAGTAAGTCCTGTGTCCAACCTATCATCAACAAAGCATTCATTATCATTTATAAATTCAATTCAACTCTTTCAACAACCTTGTTCTACTTCATAAATATATGCCACTATCCCCTGTCCCTTAGTATAGGGACCGTTGTCTAAATGGTGAAAATCAAGAAAGCTCAGTAATATTACATTCATTTACCCTCTGCTCCTATATTTAAAGACATAGATAGTATTATTAAATGAGGAACTCCTAAAAGTCCTTAGTTGATAGGAATTCTTTTTGCCTGACCAAAAGCATCAACATTCAAAATTCACTGTCCTCAACAGCATCAACATTCAAAATTCACTGTCCTCAACATGGTTAAGTCATTATCATTCTAGACTAGTTACTTACATTGGAAATGCAATGTAGTCTGTCGTCTATAAGGTAAAGGCAATAAATATCTAGGGGGAGAACTCACCAATGCATTATGCATATTTCCCGGGGAAGCAGAAATGAAGATGTCACTATGGATACTAATGTAGTAGTCAAGTGCGGCTAATAGAGAAGCTTTTCCCTTAATCTGAGCACGCTCGGAAGGCAAAGTAAGGCTCTTTTTATCTTCCATCAGAGGAAACAATTGCTTCAAAGTAGCAATCCTGGCTCCTCCACCATAGACCTGGAAAAGATAATACATTTAAGATAATCAGGTACTAATTAAAATTAATGAATCTCCAATGTGTCAAAGTAAGTAACATGATTAAACCTTGTGAGAGGCAAGATATAAACGAGTGCTGTTGTCGAATCCCAAAGCTGCTAGCAACAATCCAACCTCTTCGGGAGTCATTGGGCAACGGCCCTGACTCCTCAACTCTTCATCAGTGAATTGGGAATTAAGAACCCTTCCCTGCCAAATAACCTGTCTATACTTGGCAAGCGCCAATTTTTCCGCTTTACCACCACCAAAATCACAGGCTGAATGGGCTGCCATATCCTGCCATACAAGATTATACAAACTTACTCAATTAACCAAATTTATGTGTTAGAGCGTGTTGCTGGATAATAATAAATGAAAAACAAGAAATACCTTATCAAATCGAAGGTGCAGAACAACGAATTTCCCTGCATTTTTATTATCATCTGCATCTGTGACCTCTTGAAGGTAATTGGAGCCCGTTTCTTCAGTAGAGAGTTGAGGATTGCGAAGGCGACTGATAAGGGCATCTCCAAGTGTTCTGATATGGGGAACAAATACTAAAGCTTGAAAATTGACTTTACAGCGCAGGTGTTGGATATCCATAGGCAAGTTGTCAAAAGTCAGGCGGTGAGAAAATGGAGAGATTGCAGCAATACCATAACTGCATCAAACAAAACACACCAAGATGTTATAAGTTCATAATGCATAGAAGTAAAGAAACTTCAGAACAATCTTCAGCACAGGTTCTGTATTTGATAGCAATACATAAATGCTAAAGCAGATGCAATTGTGAATAAAAATATCAAACCACCAACCTTTGAAGGACAGGCAAAACATTCTCCAGATACCAGTTGGCTGTTGCATGAACAGGTGCAGCCTTGATTCTGGTATCTCTAATAGCCAATGAATAGTATTCCCTTGAACTCCACGAGTACTCTTCAGGAAGCTCTTTAACTATGGAAACATCATCCTTCAATACATCAATGAAATGATCCACATCAAATATATCCTCGAATGAGCTGCAGATAAGCATGAGTTAGTACATTACATCACACACAAATAATGGAACAGAAAAACACAACCAAATTGTAATTCTAGTTTCTGCATTACCTTGAATCCTTCCATACAGGATTTAATTCAAGGTACGGGATCACAAGAGTTGCATTCAGTATCTTGGCGACAGCAACTGCATCACATATCTAAAAAAAGAATTATATACCGAATACAAATTATAAATCTTTCGAATACGAAAGAAAAGTTAGATCTAATTGAAAGGCTTTTAAATACATACCCCCATCCTTTGCTGGTTCAGACCTCCATCAAGAAATACCTGGATGTATCCTTCAGACTTCTCCGGTAATGCTGCTTCAATTCAAGTTCCAGTCACAAAAAGATTAGATTAACCAATGTTACATAACCAAACATAATATGTTCTAAAAGATTTCGCTTTCACTCACTTGGCTTGTTTCTCAATTCATTGCAAGGTTTCCAACCTTGGTTTTCCAGAGGCGTCCAGATTTCAGAAAGCTGCGATGTCGGCTTCACATGGAGAAAACAAAAATAAATAAAACTCAAACAATAATAAAACAAACATTCACTGCTAACACAAACTAAAAATAAATAAATCATGTAAAGAAAGCCTTTGTTGCTCAATTAACTCTTACAGTTTCACGTTGCACAGCGCTCTTGAGAAGGCGTGAGTGTCTCGGTTTTATAGGATTCAACTCCTACATATAGGAAGTTCCATGTTATTAGGCATGAAAATAAACTAAAAACATAACAAGCCATCATGGTACTATAAATAAAACTAGGAACTAAACTGCACAAACATCATGAACATGTTGATTTAATGGATTCTAATAAATATTGAGCTTGTTTAGATTGACTTATTTAGACTTATCTACTATGCTAAGTCGTTGCGAGACTGTTTGGGACAACTTATAGAAACAAGTTATGACATGATCATAAACTATCTAAGGTAGCTTAAGAAAAATAATTTAAGCATATAAAAATAGAAATAAAATCTGTATATAAACACTTATATTATAAGTACTTAATTAAGTTGTTCATTCAAATAGGAATCAAGTGAGTTTTACAAAGCAAGCAAGCAATGACCATGAGAATAAAACACACAACAAATCCAAATCCACCCTAACCAAACAAACCCTTGTGAATTTTTTTCATTATCATAAGAAACCTTCCATCTCTATAACTCTAATTGAAAGTAATAATTCACCAAACCTTTTTAATCATAAAGAAATAAAAACAAAAAACCTCACCCACCACACCAAAAATGAGTAAAAGCATATCATGAAGAACCATGTGATCCACAATTAATAATCTGTTAAAATAGTTACTCAAATTTATCTAACCCAGCAAACACAATCAAATTTATTATATAATATCTTTATGTGCCTATTTTCAAGCTGTCAAATTCAATATATTCACCATCAACAATAAAATCCATAATTTCTTCTAAAACAATAAAAAAAATAAAAAAACCTAAATTTCTTTCAATTTATCAATTTCTAAATTTTCCTAAAACAAACTTCAACACGCAACTCAATAGATTTTCTTATAATAAAATAAAACCGAGTAACAAAAAAACACTCGAGAGCTTTCAATATCACAAAAAATCAATTAAACAAACACACGTAGAAGAAAAAAATAACAATTACTGAAAATGAAATAAAAACCATAACGGTAAAATCACTGTTCCGCCAAAATTAGAAAAAACAAAAAACAAAACAAATTATTCAAAGAAGAAAAAAAAAAACTCACCGAGTAAATAGAAGAAGAAGCACAAAAAGTGGAGAAGAGAATGAAAAAGGAAAAAGAAACAACAACGGTTCTGCAATGGAAGCCAAGCTCCATGGTGATGGAAAGCGGAGCTTAACAACGGATCTAGAGAATGACCGTTTTGACCCTTCAGAAGAAGTTTTTCTTGAAATGGGAATGAAGTAATGTTGAAGAAGAAGAGAAGAGAATCACATCATGAACATAATGATTTTTTTATATATATAGTATTTTCTTTGGAACTTTTATGACTAATAAATTTTTTTTTTATTTTTTTTGTGAAAGTAAATTTTGATAAGAGTATTCACATGGACACCTGACTTAAGTCACCGAATTGAATAATGAGGGAAGGTTGGAGTCTTTATCATGTTGACCCCACTTAAATAAATAAAGAGCATATATTTAATATTTTTTTATTTAATATTTTTTTATTTTTTTATTATTATTTTTTTTTATAGGGGTGGTGGTAGATTAGACCGTTGGCATGAGTAGTGTTATGTGTGAATGTGAAAGTGCTTTTTTTTTAATCACTCACGAGTTTACAACAGCACCACCTTTAGTTTGTTGTTTTGTGTGAGCACCGACACATGGAAGATGGTAAAATCGAGCACTATCTTTTTACGTTCAACAACCAAGAATGAGAATCTAACCTTTCACTATGAATAACCACTGTTTCTGTAGTTATGTAGATGGTGCCATTTGATGATTGGTTAGTACTTGAATTTTAATGACCACTGGATTTCACCTTTTTTTTTAACTTGATATGAATCTAATAATTGAGATATTTTATTTTGTATTTTTTAATTGGGAGATTTAATTAGTACACATATATATAATATAATGGAGGTTTATAAACTTAGATGTTTTGGAATAGTTAGGAGATTATAATATAATATCTAATAGATATTGCCGACGTATGTTTCTTTTCATACAAAGACCGAACTGTCTCTCAAGTTAGTGATTATATGAATTGAATATCACTTTTATTTATGTGCTTTATAAAATCAAACGAAATAAATTAATGGCGGTGATTAATAGAGAAAAAGAAAGAAAAAAAAGGACAGTGATAATTGATACGGAAAGAAAGAAAATAAATAAATAAATTATAGTTAGATTTAATTAAAAATTAGTAAGAAATTTGTGTTATCTTTTAAATTCATATTATATGTATATTAAATTATTATTTATAAAATATAAATTTATTTTTTAATTGATTGACATTGAATTATTTATAAATATAGGTTAATAATATATATTAATTTTTAAGTATTGATTTATAAATATAGATTAATAATATATATTAATTTTTAAGCAGTGATTTGTACTTACAATAAATATATAATTGTTTGTCTAACTTCAATTGTATCAACAATGTATAATTATTTCTTGTTTATAAAAATATTTATAATTTATTTCTATTTATAAAATCAATTGTATCAACAATATATTTTTTATTTTTATTATAAATATATTTATTAATTTTTGTTTTTACAACAAAAATTTAAATTACTAAATTGATATCTGAATATTAACACTATACTTTAAAATATAGTTATTTTAACATTATAAATAAGTACTTCCTCCATTTTTATTTATAAGAAACTTTTAATTTTTTAAATTCATTAAATAATTGATGTATCTAATCGATATATAGCCTAAATACATTATTTATTTAATGAATCTAAAAAGTCAAAAATTTCTTATAAAAGAGAATGGAGGAAGTACATCTTAAAATGAAAAGCTCTTTTGCAAAACTAAATTTAAATCAAATGTTATGATATTTTATTCAATAATTAAATCACAAAGTTTATTAACTCTCACCATAAAAAGCAATTCCTCGTGCATCTTCATAAAGAGTAGTAAATAGTAATAAATAATTAATAATATAATTAATAATAATAATAATAAACAATAATACTAATCAATCTATTATAAATATATAATGATTTATTACTCTGTAATTCTTTTGATTATAAGTCACAATTAATTCAATTACGAGGAGTATTGTTGACTTTTTAAACTTTACTTGTTTTATATTCATTTGACATTAAATGTGGCTAATGTCTCACAACCCTAATTTTTGTTGGTTTTTGTATTATTTTAATTATACAAATTATTCCACTAAACTCTGATTAATGTGCGAAATATGAGCAGACAATCGAAAATTTGCAACTTCTCACATGTTTCACGATTTACAAATAAGAGCAAAATCTTTGATATGTTGCTGGAAAGTGCTCACACTGATAATACTTCCATAAACTCTAATCTTCTTCCTAACTGTATGTTTTTCTTCAACGTCACCGACGTTCACATCGAGGAACAACTTTCTATTTCACTCCCCGTTCAATTTCTTAGCACAGTCACCGATTTTGGTTTTCAATTTGGTAATTTTTTATATGTGATTGATTTTTGTTTTGTGCAGGGAAGAAGATGAGTCACCAGCGAAAATTTTTCGGGTTCATCATTGAAGCTTCGTTATGTTAACCATAAGAACGAGTCTTCCTCTCAGGATAGTGGGTTTGATTCGTTGTGTTTGTCTGATACTGGATTAGCTGCTCTTGCTGATAGGTTTCCCAAGCTTGAGAAGTTGAGATTAATTTAGTATTATAATGTTACCATAAATGAATTATTATCACCAATTTGGAAATGTGTTTATTTGAAAGCCTTGGACTTGCGGGTTAATTTGCTATCTTTCATTTTCTTGGAACATTCATAACTTGTTAAGGTTTAGACTTTAAATTTTAACTGCTTTATAAAATAACCAGTTTCTGTCAATATAAGTTAATGTAAATGTGTTTCAGATTGAGTAAGCGTGGTTCATATGGCTTCTGAAAGTGAATGTTGAGATTGGTGAAATAACTATTAATAGTTGGTTTCTCTTCAAGCCATTTTCCCAATTTCTCAGGAAAAGCTCTGCAAAGTCATGGACTCAATTGATATTCATCATACAAACAATCTAAGTAAGTGCCTGAGTATTGCAATGTGATCTAGATCCATAAATGATAACTTACATTTTGATATGCAAAGGTTAAACCTTGTCATTGTTGGTTGTAGTCACAATAATGTTTGGAACTGTTGAAGAGCTTTTATTGAGTGAAAATAGTTTTTATTGTATTCTAAATCGGTTCTCCATACTTTTGGTCTGCACATTTAGCTGGTCCAATATGGGAACCATTTACTTCATGGTGTTGTGCTTGACTTGAAACCATAGGTCTAACATGTATCTCTTAACATCAAAGATGCCAAAGCCTTAAATCCATATCAGTGATTTACAAAAAGGAAATCAAGTTTGGAAAATGTCAATCAAAGTTGTTTACATCTGGACTGTCAAGGAGAAGAGTGACCAACTCCATCTTGAGATGGTTATTCACTCAAAGGTGAAGTTTATTCTATACTACTTCTTTGTTATTATGTTAAGTGGTTATCAAATGCTATGAGAACTCATTATTCCTGAACACTTTATATTATTATAGGAACTAAATTTTTACAGGAACTACACGTGCTATAATTCTTATATATTTTAAATTTAGTCTAGTAAATTTTATAGTTCTTTTAGCCCTCACTTGAAGACTTTATGAATGTTATTGAAAAGTGACATATTTGAAATAGAACTATGGATAATTCTGATGTAATTCAGTTTTCTATATTTCAAGATTATTTATAATATCATAACACTGGAGTGGATCATTGTTTTAATTTGATCAAGAGGAAAATATGTCTTTGTGTGGAGCTCAATGTTGTTCCTAACATGTTAATTGACTTAATTTGATTAATTTTATTCTGCATCATAGATTGGTCATATCTGACCAACTCTGTTATAATAATGTGTTGTATTGGACTATTTTTGTGTGTGCAGGTTCTGACATCCCTTTGCTTAAAGAGTTGATGTTAATCCGGGTGGCTTGGTTGCCGCAGAGATTCTAATTTGGAGGTTTTAGCAGCTCAATGCATATGACGTTGGTGTATGGGAACTTAATTCTGGATCTATGGTCAAGCAATCTACATAAACATAAATTGAATGGAATTAGGGAAGAAGTGTAGAAAGTTCATATATATACATGCATCCTACCCTTGGAACTACATACATAGGCTATTTCAAGTAGTATTAGTTTAACTGGAACATGATTTTAGAAGCTGGATTGAACATGACTTTATTTGCCATGAAAATCTGATAGTCTTTAAAAACTGAATTGTTGCTCCAAACCACATTATTCATTTTCTTATTATGCTTAGTGTAATTTCTTTTGGCATTTTGATCAATCATCCTCACAATATTATATTTATCAAAAGATTTGATATGAAGAATATATTTCTGGTTTATGGAGCCAATGACAGAAAGAGTTTATCCAAATTCCATGTGGACTTTCATATGAATTTCTGCTTCATATTATCCAAATTCCACTTACAAACACTTTTTACTTTAGATTATTACAAATTTTAGATTGTAAATATGCAAACAAACATACACAAGAAACATAACTTTGACAATTGTTATATTAGATAATGCTATGTAGGTCCCACTAAGTAAATGCCAAGATTGCTTTTCAATATCATAAAATATTATATAAAAAATTGATAAATTGATGCATATAATATTTTTATAAAATTGGAACAACCTTTAATATTAGAAAATAAAAATTCACATTTCAGTATGTGTTAATTTATTAAAAGTAACTATTTAAGAGGTTTATTAATTTTAATGCAAAACCCTTATATGTATGGTAACTTTATCAAAGAGTAATTAACTAATTCAATTAGATTATTTTCAAAAGTTTAATTGATTCTTTAAAACTCAATTAAATTTAATTAATAAAAACAAACTATATAATATTGATATAATTTTAAATAGCATTAAAAAAGTATTTAAAAAAATTATATGATTTTGAATTCTATTGATATATTTTTTTAAAAATTGAAACTTTATTCCTCATAATTGTTACCATAGAATACGTGAATATACTTTCTATTTATAATGTATTCAATTTTTAATTTTTTAAGATAAAAGGCAATATTATAACCAAAAAAAGATTGATACACAAAAAGGTGGGACTTAGCCAAGACTCACTCAAAAATATCTA